GAAACTGTGTTCAGAGCTGGTGTATTGTGACAGCTGCAGCCTCAACTCCAAAACTATTTGATCTGACTGTTAATACCAAGATTTCACTTCCCATCCACCTCCTTTTTAAACTCACTCTCAAGCGTACTGCCTTGTACCTTTATCCAGCAGCTACTTCATTTTTTTTCCAATTTTTTTTCTAATTCCAGGCCTTTCAGTTTAGTGTGCATAACCTTGTGAAGAATGACAAAATTATTTCTTCTGGGGAGTTCACTTCTTCCAAGGGTGATGGTTTTTATACCGTGTGATGGAAGAAGATTTTGGTTTTTTCTTTGTTCAGACAGCTCTTCTATTTGAACAAATCTTGAGAAATTAATTACTTACAAAATAAATGTATTTTTTTCTATTTTTGATAGACACTTCTGCATTTGTCACTGTAGGCTGCAGTAGAAGAAAGAAAATTGTTTTGCACTATGTAGCTGATTGGTGATTTTTTCTTTTACATTATTGGAAATATCAAGGGTTCACGGAATATTCACTGTATCGGCAGCCTGGTATCTAATGAGGTTGTTTGGACACTGTTCTCTGAGCTGGAGTAAAATCTTTGGAATGTGTTGAAATTTAACTGAAAGTGGGGGAGGTTTTTTAACAGTGAGCTTTAGGTAAACTGCATCTTTTTAAATTTCCTGGGCAGCTGCCTTTCTCCCTTTGATGTACTGTGCCTGGTGATGCTGTTAATGAAATGCATAATTATGTGTTATATAATAAAACAGAGCTAACATGAAGGTGCCTAATAGAGTATAATGATGTGGAGGCCTGAGAAACTAAGGACCATGGGGGTTGTTGAAAAGTGCCTCTGGTGACAAAGAAGATGTTTAAAGAGGTTTGAATAACTGTGCTGATAAATAAATTGTAGTCTCTCTGTGTGTAAATGACATTTTTCTAGATTTTGTATATAGAGAGAATATTGAAAAAAATAGGTACAGTTTACTAGGCTGCTGATGTATGAAGTGTCAGCGCCAAGTGCTTCCAGTGCCTATTAGTGCTGCTGGCTTTGCATAGGCGGGTGCCCTGGGCAAAGACATTTCTGGCGCAGCCTGCCTCACCCACAGGACCAAAAGAAACTGAAAAAAAATCTGGCAATATGCACAGAGAGTAAACTGCATTCTAAAGAGCAGCCCCTACAATTCAGTCTTGGAACGAGTATCGATAAATGAAACATCACGTTTAATGGCTGAAGAGTTGTAGGCATTTGATGGCTGTCCCTAACTTCCCCCTCTTCTTTCTCTGCTTTTGCCACCCATATTTTATGTCTCCCTCTGTAATACTCTGTATAGCTTGTTCCTTTCTGAGATTCTTTAGGAACTGGTTTGAACACATAGGTATTTTTAAAGGAGAGGCTGCATAAGCTTGCAGCCCTGGACCGCATGGGCTCCTGATGGTGCTGGACTGTGGCTGAGCTTGCTTGGCTGCTGTTCTGGGCTCACAAGGACCTGTCTGCTGGGAGAATTAGCATGCAGAGAGCTTCAGTGTAAATTTACAGCCTGCTAGTTACTTGGCATTAATTCCCTGGGTGAATGATTCTAGTACTTACTAAGAGTGCTTTTGTGCAGGTTAGCTTTAAGAGTACTTTTGTGTGAGTTAGGTGGGCTCCTTTTTGAAGGTGAAGTATGCTGGTTTTCACTTTCCAGGCACCAAGGGTACCCAAATGGGCAGTTAGTGCAGAGTAGCTAATATGCAGTAAATTCACACCCAAGCTCACGAAGCATGAACTTCCTCATGCAGCCGAGTCCCGAGGTTCTGCACTTTGTCTCTCCCAGCAGGGAGCAGATGGCCCTTCTCTAACCATGGAATACTAATAAAGCCCTCTGAAGAGCACATATATGTGTGTGTAGGTTCATGCCTGTCCATATGTTTATATAAGATGACTTGAATCTATCACAGTTCTTGGATTAACTTGTTCTTTCTTGATTTTTGTCAAGATACCCTAAGGAGAACTTTGCTGCTGAATTGCCATCATCCTTGTCATTAATAGACTGAGGTTTTAGCTGCAGGTTTTGATGAATTCTTTCTTCTTCTTCAGCACTAAGAGCAGCATGCTTTTTCTTTTCAATATATGAGTGACTGCATCTTTTGTGTGTGAATCTTTCTTTGTTACAATTCCCTTCCCCAGCATTTCTTATTTGATCTCTCGAGTTAATTCTAGTTTTTGATATGCTTTTATGCCTAATAAATGTTCCCTCACAACTTGAGAACCCCCAGTAAGAAGGAAATAAGATTTTCTCTAGCTCTCCAAGTACCTAGATGTGAAATCAAGTTAATTTTTAAATAAGACTTTCTCATTAGGCTTGGTTTTAAATAACTTGATCTATAATTAGTGTACAACTTCACTTTAAGGTCAAATAATGGGTTAAATTTTCATGGAAAGTTTTCTTGGAATTTTATAAATGATTTTATCTCTTTTTTATGCTTACTCTTCAAATATATAGTTGATTTCTACGTCATCTGCAGATTTGCTTTATGTTTTCACTCCAGTATTGCCTATTTCCAAGAAAATTTCCTTTCACAGAAGTTGCCTCTCCAGTTTCCATCTGTAGTGAGAGTTCAGCCCAGCTCCACCAGCTCTATTTTGGCCCAAGTTTAAATTTACTTCCACACAAAAGATATTGCTCAAAATGCTTTTAACCTGTCTTTTTTAAAATGACCTCAGCCATACTAGCCTGCCAAAGATAAACAGCATTTCTACTCAACAGGCATTAACTCTTGGAGGAAGTGAAGTCCAGTGCTGAACCCAGAGGCACTTGCTCTGAGCATTCAGTGAGCTGTTGTAAAGAGGAGCCATCCTGCCCCCAGATGCCAGCACTCAGGAAGGCTGCAGGGCTGAGGAAAATCAGCACAAGCCTGAAGGTTTCTCAGTTGCAGGTGTAAAATGATGCTGAATGTTTCCAACAATAATGACGATCTGGGCCAGGTCAGCTTTACTGTTCCTCCTAGAGGATAGGAGGGTAGGAGGAAGGGATAAAATAGGATGAAAACCAAGAAGAGGTGACTGGAAAGCAAGACTGGTTCTTGCTGGTTTTTGCTGTTCTGAAGATATTCTGTATAGTTAAAACAATCACTTGAGAGTGTTTTTTAGACAGAGTGTGTTTTAGAGAATGTTTTTTAAGTTTCAAAAGTTTTTATATTTAGAGTTTCAGAGTGCTTTTATAGCTTTTTAGAGTGTTTTTATATTAACTTTTAATATTGGTTTTATTGTGGAAGAGTTCCCTGTAGCAAGATACTTTAAAAAACCTTAGAAGGAATCCATAATAAAGGAGTATCCATCTGTGTGAATGAGTTGCAGCAGATATGATGAAGTAATTCTTAAAATCCCACAGTTGCTGTTTTCCTTTTAACTGACATGTTCCTGTTTTAAATAAAACAGTTGAATGCTAGGTTTAAAGAGACATTCAAAGAATGCTGTCGTGTTATTAGAAATCCCTGGCTATGTCTAAGCAGAAAGGACAGTTGCATGACCCTGTCGTACATGGCTAACTATGCCATATGAGTCCCTTGTTGGGATATGCTGTAAATCATCCTGAATGTTATCTTTCCCAACCCAGAACAGAGACAGAACGAGGGTTAAAATGTAAGTCTGGATACATTTGCTGCAGCTTATCATGAAGAAATGTGTTTATTGGCATTCTTTGAATGTAGATACTTGGAGTACTTAACAATCTCAAACTAATGAGGTCTGTTAAATGGCCATGTGCTGTGATTCACTTTGTCTGAATTGGAGAAAAAATTCTATTCGAAAGCCTCTTAGTCTTATGAGGAAAATTTTCATTTAGTCCCAGGGTAATTGCTAAAGAATGTAGCTTTTTAATAGGATGCAATGATAGAGGAAATAGTGGGATGTGAAAGGAGACATCAGTTTTTACTAAAAAGTCTTAATAAGGTATCGTAAAGGGAATATTTTGGTGCAGTCATTTTCACCATGAAAAATATTTGACTTTATTGTGAGTTGGGCATAAACAACATTAACTGCATTCACGTTGCTCTCTGTTTTTTGTAGGAGAATTCACTATGAATCCTTTATTCAAAGGCAGTTGTACTGGTCTACTTTGTTAAGTCACTGCTACCACACCTGTTAGATATTTGCAGTAGTAGGTCAGGTGAACTTGGTCTGCCTTTGCACTTAGTTATGGTGGTTGTAGCCAACCACGGAGGTAAAACAATTAGCTCAAGGAGAATAAAGTACTAAAACATGCTACATACTTTTCCACTCATCTGACCATACCCTCGCTACACAGGTAGAAAGGACAAGTATACTCAGGAAAGATGTTTTAGGTGAGATACCATCATTTGTGCCTATTATTTTCTAAAACTAGTGCTCCAGTGCCAATTCATGGATTTGTGATCATAGGGACAGGGATGCCTGCACCATGCCTTGTACTGCCAAACATTGCCCTGCATGGTAACTGATGTTCCTGCTGCTTGATTTCCTGAGCTGGACTTCTGTTGAAAGCTGCTTCATCCCTTTTCTGGCATCCTTCAAGACAGTGTTTGTACAAGGAGCTTGCTCTGTCAGGAAGCAGAAGTATGGGAAAACAATATTATATCTCCTGACCTCAGCAAAAAAGAAAAAGTATTTGGATTTGTTTGTATTTTTTAGTATTTGTCACAATGCCAAGCTATTTTAAGCAGTCTGGCTACTCCATCTCTACTTACCCTTCTCTGATACATCAAAATTATCACAAGCCACCTGAAATATGGGAATCAGATGTGAGTTTTAATGTAAATGTTGCACTTCAAGATGATAGGGATGGGAGGGGGAGCTGTTACTGCATCAGCCAAGATTCTCTAGTGGAAGTGTTGACTGATTACCTATCCCTAGGATGGAGGGGGGATACTCTTCCCCTTTCAGTGGACTGAATTGCTTCCCATTCCCTTGTGAAAGAATACAATCCTGTGCAACTGTTGCCTTCATCTGCAGGTATAAGAATAAAAAGGGAAAGCCCTTTGTTCTGTTTTCTCCTTAGGTAGAGATCACAAATGATGTCCAGTCCTTGCTACTGAAAATGCTGGCTGTCACGGTGGCCAAGGTGGTTAGTGACTTGTTCAACATATCCCTCCTGAAGCTGAAATGCATTCCCTACTTGGATGTGGTATCCTTTGCTCATTACAGAGTCAAATGGTGAGGTCTCTCATGTTGCTGATCCTCAAATTTTCTCTCTCACGTTCTTCACAGAGGCTGTATGGGTTCTCTGAAACGCGGAGCTTAGAGGGAAAAGGACTAGAAGGATCCTGAACAACTTCCTCATGGTGTGATATGCTGTAAAAGTAGAACAAAAGAGACTTCCTTTCTCTTCAAATTTATATTTGAATAGTATACATCCACAGCCAAAGCAGAACACTTCAACTGTCTTTTCTCCCAGTATTGAGGTCTACTGACAATCTCTTAGATTCAAATGACCCTTTAGAAGAACAAAATATTGGTGACTGTCCACACTTTCTTCTAAATGTAGCCGTATCTGAAAGCTTTTAACAGGCCCATTGAATGGTAGGTATAATCTAACTGTATTTATAATGAGAGGAAAAATTGCCAGGATGTGGTAGGAGGAAATAAGAACAATCTGTGACATTATGGGTGATTTCTATATGTACCATGGCAGATAAAACAGGGAGGAAGAAGCCATAAAGTTTCCCATGGTATTCCAATTAGATGACAAGCCCATGGAAATAATTATAACTGCTTTCCTAGTTCAGAGTGAGGTCCTATTCACTTGAACGACATATCTATCTATCTATCTATCTATCTATCTATCTATCTATCTATCTATCTATCATCATGGCTAGGCTTCGCAAACGAAGATTTGGGAAGGGCTCTACCCATGTTTGTTACAAATATATATATATATATGGCATATATATATATAATTTTGTTTTCCTCCCACTTCTTTATTTTTTCTCTCCAAACGCATTAAAGAAAGTTTCTGGATAACTTGGTCAGACTATACCAATACTCTAAAGCAAAATGTAGTATCACAACTTGGTAAAGATACTTTACAGACTGCCAAGGTTTAGTCTAAATCCGCTTAGACATAGTCTGAATAGGCTGATACATATATGAAGTAGCAGATGTAGTTGCTAAGCTGCTCTTCATTATATTTAAAAAGTCATGACAGTCAGGTGAAGTCTTCAGTGACTGGAAAAAGGGAAACTCCACACCCATTTTTTAAAAAGGATAAAATGGCAGACCCCAGCAACTACCAACCACCCAGCCTCACCTTTGTGCCCAGTAAGATCATGGAACAGGTCCTGTTGGAAGCTGTGTCAAGGCATTTGGAAGATAGGGAAGTGATTTGAGACACCCAATATGGCTTCACAAAGGGCAAATTATACCTGACTCATCTAGTGGCCTTCTATGATAGACTGCATTACTGGACAAGGGAAGAGCTATGGGTATCATCCACTGACTTCTGCAAGGTCTTCAATACAATCCTGTATTGAAGGGACTTTTAACTAATTTGGAGAGGTAGGGATTTGTTGGATGGAATGTTTGATGGATAAGGAATTAGCTGTTTGGCTGCATCCAAAGAGTTGCAGACAACGGCCCAATGTCCAAATGGAGATTAGTAACAAGTGGTAACTCTCAGGAGTCCATACTGGGACTGGTACTGTTCCATATCCTTATTAATGACATAGACAGTGAGACTGTACCCTCAGCAAGTTTGCGGATGGCACAAAGCTGAGTAGTGCCATTGATATGCTTGAGGGAAAGGAGGCCATCCACAGGGACCTTGACAGGCTGGAGGAGTGGGCCATTTTGAACCTCATGAAATTCCACAAGGTCCTGCCCCTGCGCTGGGGCAGTCACCGGGATCACTAGAGACAAGGTAATGAATGGACTAAGAGCAGCCCTCCAGAACTGGGGATATTGGTAGACAAAAAAAATTAGATATGAGCTGGCAACGTATAATTGCAGCCCAGAAAACCAATTGTATCCGGGGCTGCATGAAAAGAAGTGTGACCAACAGGTTGAGGAAAGTGGTTCTCTCCCTTTACTCTGCCCCTGAGAGACCCCACCTGGCACACCGTATCCAGCTCTGGGGTCCTCAGTACAAGAAAGACATGGATCTATTGGAGCGGGTCAGAGGAGGTCTAAAAGAATGATCAGATGGCTGGAACACCTCTCCTGTGAAGAAATGCTGAAAGAGTTGTTGTTGTTCAACCTGGAAAAAAAGACTCTGGGGAGACCTTATTACAGCTTTTCAATACTTAAAGGGGCTTATAGGAAAGATGGAGAAAGACTTTTTATCAGAGCCTGTAGTGATATGGTAACCGGGAACAGTTTTAAACTAAAAGATGATTGGTTAGGTTGGACATAACCGAGCCAGGTCAGATGGGGCTTTGAGCAACCTGGTCTTGTGAAAGGTGTCCCTGCCCGTGGCAGAAGGGTTGAAACTAGATGATCTTTAAGGTTCCTTCCGGCCCAAAAGCTTCTGTGATTCTATGATTCTATGACACTGGTCTCTTCAACACACTTCTTGGATACTCTGTTACCTTGTTATCCAAACATTTGTTAATCCTTCATTTGTTAAACAAATGAAGCGTCACCATTCAGCCATCTTAGACTTCTGGGATTTGGACCGATCCCTTGATCTCTTATAGATTGGGCATCCCAAACCCTGAATATTGACTCAAGGGAACTCTGGATTTATAGTCTGCCTCTTAAAGTAAAAACTGTCATAATTGAAATTAATTATGAAGCCTAACATGCAGTCTTTGTAAGAATTCCCAAACCAAGATCTTATTGCTTTACCTAGCATGGGAAATACACAGATTAAACAAGACAGTTAAAAAGAATTAGTCTCTTTACATGTTTCCTTACCTTTGTTTCCTCATCACTTTTCTGAGCATCCTCGAAACTTGAACAGAAGTTCTTCAGCAGAAATTCTACAGAAAGGTGCCTGGCAATGACTTTTCTTTCCATGTGTTTTTCCTGCAAACCAAGATTTCTTTTTTTTTTTCCTCTCTAATCCTGCAGCTAATAAGATGCTATGGGAGCCTGCCTGTTTGCTTCTTTTATCTCAGTGTGACCACCCAGTGTATATAAGGCTCTGCTGTTTTTATGTTACGCTTATTTGCTACACTTTGGGAGTATTTTTATTTTCAAATGCCTATACCCAGACATCGTTTTGCAGAGACTGTCCTCTTTCTGTTGTGTCAGCTTGGTTGAGAGTTTGCTCTGGGAAAGCATTAGGTGACACAGTTATGTTTGTGCTGGGTTTTTCATGCCCTTTGTTCAGTATTATTCTGAAAGATCACAAAATGTATAAACTGTGCATTGCTGGATTCCCCAAACCATAACAGGGACAGGGGTCAGCTGTGTGGGAACTGGTAGCTAGCATATATTTATAAACAGGTGATAAATTTTATTTGTGTATGCAGAATGAAAGATTCAGATAACTAACAGCTTGCTTAAATGCCATAGAAATGCCACATAAATTGGGATCCTTCTTCAACTGAAACTGAGAAGTCTTTGGAAAACAGTGCAGAGAGGAAAAATGAGAGAGGAAAAAGGAGAGACTTAAGAGAACACATATTTTTATGTCCTCAGCACTTATACTGTTAGAGAGAAAGTGTGGATCTTCCCTTTCCCAGTTCTTCATTGATGTTAAGAATGGAAAGACCTTCTGTATATGATAATTTTGTTGATTCCTGTTACATGGCTGAATAATGTCTCCAGGCATAAGATGTGTTAGACACTGAATGGAGAAGTGAAAATAGATGTTAGATGAACAAGGTGGGGGCAGCATTAAGGACCAGCTCCACAAAGGAATTTAACTCCTAACTGCTGTAGAAGTCAATGGGTACATTAAGAAGCTACATTATGTACATGCTGACTCTGAAGCCATCTCTGTAAATAGTGTTATATACAAAATTCGTGGAAGTGAGACCTGGGTCCTCAGTGGTATTTCACTGCCTAATTTATATATAGGCACTGGCATCTCTGGATGCTCTGCTTCCTATGGAGCAGGAAGGCTTGAGATTTATTTTCTTAATACTCATTATGTTTTTGGAACCTCATTGATCACCCTGCCTGTTTTATTCTGTGCTCTGGGTGATAAGGCTCCAAACACAGCTGTATCTAGTACAGGGCTGCTACAGTGGACTGCGATTTCCAGCTACATTGCACACCACTGTAAACACCCCCCTTATAAAATCTGGTTCTCTGGAACACTCAAAGCTGCTGGCTGCCAGGGAATGTTCTTTAATGAGGGTAAGGAGTACTTGAACACATCTATGACTTGGCAACCCTTCCTGCTTTTTATAAGCTACTATACACTTCAGAGAGAAAATATCTTAGAGGCTACTTTTTAATGGGACAAGTTTACTTAAGAGCTGAGTGGAGTTGGTGCCAGTAGTTCTGTTTTGTTCTAGCTTAATATTAGCCTTGTCAAAGTTCTTATAGTGTCTCCTGGGTGTTTCTCTATTGCATACCATATAAAGCTGGTTTTGGGAGCCAAGAATTTTGGCTGGAATATATATTATAGTGGTCTCATTATATTTTTCTAAAGTGCATCAGAGGTGGCCCTGTATTAAAGATCCATGGAGCATGGCTATTTTTTTTTTCTTTCTCCCTTTTAGCTTTGCCTTAGCCCACACCGCAGACATTGGATCCAGAATTTGAACCAACCCAAGTTTGAGGGTTATTTGGGTTCCAAGGTCCTGGTTTGGCCTGTAATTAAATTTGGGGGTAATTAGTGATTTTTTTTTAGATGAGGCTTTGGATTTTGAAAATCACCAGACTTTGAGGATGGTACTTTTGGTTTGGGCCTAGGCTAGCAACTACTATGCTAAAAGATTCCCTTCTCATCTTGCTGACACAAGTGATCATTCAAAGACAACTCACCATGTGGTACATCCTGTCTTGCCTCTTTGAGAAGCCAGTGTGTTTCATGGCTGCTTGGCGCTTTCATCCCGAGAGACATCATTAGAGGGTGGACTTGGCAATATACTTGCATCAGAGGGCATCCAGCCCATCTTTTGTAGAGTGCTTGTGGTGGAAGCTGGATCCTGTTCTGCCTGTACAAAGGAAAAAGGGGCTGTAACAAGGCCATGCTTTGTATGGGGAAAACCCTGGCTGCCACAGAAAAGATGGAGGGAAGGTGTTGAGATGTGGGTTAGATT